TGAATGAATTGAATTCTTGCAGGAGATTATTGAACGCAACACTTTGCCTCACAAATATCGTCGAGTGCGCCGACCCAGTGAATCGGATGAAGATGCGGAAAAGTGCGCGATTTGTTTGTCGCTCTTCGAGATTGAGAATGATGTGCGGTGAGTAATGGAAACTAGGTCGCTTTGTTATCAGTTACTAAAAATATATATGTGCGTTGCCTTTCAGACGTTTGCCCTGCATGCATCTCTTCCACACTGACTGCGTAGATCAATGGCTCGTCACCAACAAACACTGTCCAATTTGTCGCGTTGACATTGAAACACATATGGCAAAGGATGCACTTGTACCCAGCTCCAGTGGCGTTGCAGCAGCTGCCGCGGCTGCTGCAGCTGGCACTGCCACCTTATGACATTGTGTACATGGTGTATTCATGTAAGACATCAATAAGGACAACAACAGACACAACATCGACTCTAAATCCGCTGCAAAATGCAGTAAGAGGATATGATTTTCGGACTGAGCTCGTCATGTTAAACATTCATGCCAGAGCCGTCAGCGGGGCGCAGCAGCAGCAAAAGCAACAAGAACCATAACCACTGAGAAACCATGTTTAAAAAACAAGCCAAAAAAATATAATAATAATAATATTGCATGCCGGGGATACACTGGAGCATCCGGAAACCCCAGTTATGGGTGTTGTGTTGTAGCTGATGACGCTGCCTTATTTGAACGCAATATGGGGTGATGCATCTAATCAACTCTAAATTCCCTGAGTTCGTCATGTTCGTTATGCATGGGTCAGGCCGGCAGCCGCCAATAAAAAAGTCTCGTCAAATTGTTTTTATTCACAAACTAAAAAAAGAACACAAAATCACAAAAAAAAACAAAGAAAAACAAATCGTCAAACGTTAGCCAATTGGAACTGTGAACCCACCATAACAGGCGAAATCAGGTGTAAAAAATTTGCTGCGTTGCGTTAAAATATATATATGTGAATATATATATATATAAAGAAAAAGGACAAAAAATAACTTTAAAAAAGCAAACTTTGGCTCAAACTCTACGTACATACACACATATATATATATATGTATGTATTATCATAATATATATAAATTTATTGATAGGTGTTTTAATTTTTGGCACAATCACCGAATCATTATTATTCCTACATTATAAAATTATGTCCATGTTTTATGAAACGAAATTCTTGTGATTTACAAACATGTACCACGTATTGTTAAATTTTGAAATGCCGCCTCCCCATGATTAATAATTATTTAATGTACCAAACAATAATTGTTATGATATACCCCCGACGCTTTCCACTCCCTCCCACATATTTTATAATTTGTCACGAAATTAAAAAGTGTGGTACCATGAACAAAAAAGAAAACGATAAAAAATAACAAAAACTAAACATTCAATTCAATTGCATTTTAATCCTCTATTGAATTCTATTTGTTGCCATATATATGTAATCGATTTACTGGTTGATTTCACCTGATTTGATCTGAAACGTTGTGTGACGCCAGTCACTAAAAAGAAATAATTTTAATTAACCTCTAAGTTCTCTTTTGGGTAAATCCAAGAAAAATAATAGTAATATAAACCCAATTAAAAAGGATAACATACCTTTATATAATTATATATTGATAAACATGAATTACAAATCAAATACGTATATTAAAAAGTGAATCAAAAATAAAAGCGTGTTTTTTTTCTGAGCTATTACTTATATGAAAGCTGTGCGGTGTGCTTCAACCACAGGAATCCGTAAGATCTCAATTTTTGAGGTTGTAGATTTAAATATTTTTGGTTTCAGGATTTTTGGTTCTATATTTTTATTTATTATTTAAATAATGAATCGGTCTCCAGTTCAAGCTTTTAACACATTTTAGAGCACATATATTTCTATATATTTATCAATTTCAAAATTCTATGAACTGGGTATGTATTTAGGTACATGCTAACTTTTATTAAGCCTTTACAGCACAAGGTCTTACAATACTATAGCTAAAAATTGTTAAGAAGTGTTTAACAATGATATATATTTATAATGTCGAGCTACAAATATTGAATGACTGAGAGCATCTAGGTAACATTATTGGGCCCAGCTACTGTATTTCCACCGTCGTCGTTGTCGTCATCATCCGGCTCCTTGGTCATATCGGCAAAGAAGTCGGAGGCATTTGTGCACTTCGATGATGGCAAATTGTGTCGCTTATCCTTGTAGGCGTTGTGCTTCTCATTGTATTTAATGTCGCCAAAGTCCTCGAAATATTTGACGTTCCAGAAGCGCACATCGTTATTGTGCGATGAAGATGCCAATAGCTCACCACTGCTATTGATGTCCAGCGATTCAATGGGCATATTGTGCTGGCCCACAACGCCCAGATTGCGATAGGGAGCAATATGACAGGCACGCATGTTACCATCCTCGCCAGCTACGCAGGCAATTCGGTCCGTAATGGGTATCATCAGACTTATGGGACTTTTGATGCCTGGATACATGTCACAATGGTAGCCAAAGTAGCCCCAATTGTAGGTGTAAAGGCGCCCCTTAGAGGTACCCACCACCAACTTAGAGCTGCCCCGATAAATGCCCATGCAGTTGAGCTCCTCCTCATATGGTTCCGATTGCACATATAACTTCCGAGCACCAATATTAAAGGTGGTCAAATATCCATCGGCACTGGTCGCCAACAGCAGTTTATTCTGTTCGTTAGTTAGCATTTGGGTTATCTGATCCTCCACTTCTTTTAGTTCGAATATGGCATCTTTGGTGCGAAAATCCCAAAGCTTTACTGTGCCGGCATCATCCCCGGTGGCGAATAGACGCTCATCGAGCACATGCAATTTGTTGATGGCATCATCATGTGCTGTCTCATACAATTTTTTTAGTTTTTCCGTTTCCATGTCGGTGACCATGACGCACTTGTCCTTCGAGCACGTAATCAAACTGCGTCCATCCTCGGTGAACTCAACATCTCGACAGGCCTTTGCGTGCACTTCGATTGAGCGTAACAGCTTATTCTCTTCATTGCTATATTCATACAGATGCACATCTCCAATTATGGTCGCCAGGGCGATAATATCTCGCTCTGGATGAAAGCAGATGTCTGTGATGAAATCCTCTAGTCTAATCTCCGGGGGAGCACTGCGTGGTTTCTTTATAGCTGCAATGATAGCACGGACAGTCTCATCCGTCTCATCGTCCTCATCCAAATGTGAATAATCACCAGATCCACTGGGACCTGAACCACTGGGCCCCGCTCCATCCATTGCGTTTTGCTCCTTGCGCCGTTTGGGAATGCTTGCGCCAGCCGTTGCGGCCTCATCCATCATTGAATCATCGGAGTCAGTGTCCTCAGCATTCGGATCGAAGCTGCCATCGCTGCTGATGCTTTCGTTAGAGCTGATGTTGCCATCATTTCGTTGTGGCTCTGGTGCCCCCATGTCTGCCAAATCGTATTCGTCGTCGTCACTTTCGGATTCGTTGAGTACTTCCTGTTCTATTTCAGCTATTACACCAACTACCATATCGTCATCGATATCATCGAGTTCATCTTCATCTGCTGGAGTCTTGAAATACTCATGCCTGTACATCACATGGATTATTATTTAGTTGAATTCATTATTATTTCTTCGATAAATAACTAAATACTTACGTAAGCATAGTAGGAATCACCTATAATCAAAATTTTCCTGGTTTTATTAGACTGAGCACGCTTTTTTCCGCCAGAACAACCCAAACCCAAGAATAGCAAGAGGAAGCACGGCATACAACAAAACACATGCCTGGCGCGCACAGCTGATGGCATGGCAACAACAACAGTAACAGTAACATGCTAACAACAAGTAACAGTTTATGCCATGTCACACCCTGTATTCACATATCGAACAGATTACAAATAAGCTGACAGTTGCAATCATGGTAAAACGCGATATTAATGCTCATACAATAATTTAATTCTTTAAGCTGCAAGAATTTTAATATTATTTAACTTGGAATGATGAAATATTTCGTACATATTTATTATACTCACACATTTTGACCCCACGTAATCGCTTGCCCTTGCCATACATTTTATCCACAGGGTATTTAAACAAAAAGAAATAGAACACTACAGTGCTGCCAGATAGCCGAGAAAATGTTATTTTCAATTGCCGTCAACTTCTAACAATGGTGTTATGAAAAACCGAACATACAGCTCCTCCTGGTCATCGCACTGCATCATGAAATGCATCTCCAAAAGCCCGCTGCCATCAGTTTTTATTGCCACCTTTGAGGCCACCTGCATGGCTTTGTTTGTCAGCTTTATTTGTTGACTTTTGTATCTGGCTACCGTTGTCGCGCGACAGTTGAACAATATAACCATATCACTTGACTTGGCCACCTCTACGCTGGACTCTGCTTGCATGACACCCAAAGTGGTGATTTTGAAGTGCGGTTTTAACGGTGATATGGTAAACTCAAATTCATCGGCTGCTTTGTCCAGCTCGTGAAAGATGTTGGATAAATCTGGGCCACGCATAAATATGGTGTTTAAACTGGAACTATTTGCATCCAGGTCATAGTCGATTTGCTCCTCCACATTGGTAGTTTTAATGGAGCACTCTGTGCTAACCTGATCGTCGTCGTGAGGCTCTAACAACAGCAACAATGGTGCACCTTCACCCTTATACAATATTTTAATGCTACAATCTGAAAGACCAAACAGGCTCAGGCACTCCGCCAGTACATTGATCTTCACACTGAAGCTCGGTGTGCCGTCGACCTTAAATTCGGCAAAAAATGCTGGAGCTATACACAATGTGGCCTGTATGGATTTACCCTGCTCCACCGTGATGAGTATCCCATCTTCACTGGCATGCAGAGTACCGAACTGTAAGATGAAATACTTGATGATAAATGTATATAATAGAAGTAGACTTTTTTACATCACTAAAACAAATCGCCTTGATGGACGAGTATAAGGCCTTCATGTGCTCCAAGCGACATACCAGCTTATAGTTTTCATATTGTGATTGTGTTAACATTTTACGGTTTTTAATAATGCCTTTCTCGTACAGCACTTTCGAATGCTGCATCAATCCTCATAGATATCAATTTGAAAATACCTAAACTGATCAAGCGTCAAGATCTGTGTCCGTGGCTCGGGATGTAATAGCTGATTCAAACACTGCGCCAATACGTGCTCACACGTGAAGGAAACTTGATTGCTGTTCAGGTTCTGCTCTCGGTTTTCTTTCTCTCCTGCTTCTTTCAATTGCAACACAAAACGTTGGAAGTAGCGGCACTTGCAATAATTAACATAAGGCACAACGCGCACAACTTGCGCCAAGTTTCGCTTGCTAGTCAGTTCCACTATACAGCGATAGCGGTCTGATGTGTAGTAGGTGATGAAGTTCCACTCATCAAGTATATGTAGTGCGCGCTGTAGAAGTCCTTCTCCCAATAAAGCGCTCAACTCTGAAAATAGCTGCGAACGCTCCTCTGAAAATGAAAATAATCGTTATAGCTAGTTTAAGGAAAACGGACAGTATTGAATACCTTTAGTTAAAATTATACCATTATCGCGTTTATACTTGTTAAAAACCTGATGTACCAAGCCTGGTATAAACAGATCGTCCGTTGTTGTTAACACCACATTATCAAGCGGCATTTATATATGTAAATAATTCATCTTGATTCGCAGATATCGATTTATGAATTGCCGCCCAATTTTCGATAAGTGCTCCCTAATTGGTTAGTTAGTCAAAGATTTCGACCTCTTCTATTTGTTAAAACTGGTTTATTCAAATAGAATCCATTTGACTTTGATTATCTAATGTGCTTTTTGCGAAAAAATAAAAATTTAACTATTTTTTTAGTTACTGAATTTCGATATATTTTGATCCCTATTTTGCTTAGATTGCAAAATTCTGGCAACTCTATTCAAGTAAAATAAAAGGATGACTGTTGCCCGCGTTTTTTATTTTATATATGTTTGTTTACATATTCGTATTCAATAAATTTAGTTTCATAAATGCTTAGAATTGTGCACAAGCTAACATAATGTCCAGAAAACCCGCTAATCAGAACAAACAGCTGACAATGTCTGCATTCCTTGGTCTGGAGAACAACAGCCAGAGTCAATCGAGCCAACTCTCGAAGCCCGCAAGAAAAAGTATTTCATATATATTTTCAAATGAATGGAATAATAGGAAACTGTATTTTTCTCTTAGATATTTTAGCAGCAAGGACAGCAAAGGCAAAGTTTTATAATCCCATATATCTCGACTCATCTTCATCCGATGAAGATGATGCACAGACTCAAAGCCAAGTACCATCGCCTACTACAGCGGCAGCTAAGAATAAGGCGCCTGACAAAGATGCCAATGGCAGTGCGCTTATAAAAAGGTACAGCTTTCAAAATGCCAACCAGTCGCCACTAGCTCCACTGCCAACAAATTCTGTGAACAAGCAGCAGTCGCCCACGAAGGCAACCTTGGCTGGGAGTTTGAAATTGAGCTTCGATAACTTTGATGAGGTGCTCAGGCAGGATGCATCCTACCAAGCGACATTATCAAAGCTGAATGGCCATATGAATAAGTTGTCCGAGATGCCACTCAAAACACTCTCGCTGTCGCAATCCCCAAACAAATGCGACGAAATGAATGGAATTGGATCATCGAAAATAAACAGCTCGAGTTCCAGCAACACTCTGGACGACAGCTTTGATAAAATGGTGAAAAAACCCGTTAAAGAGGAGCCCCTATCTGACACGCCCACTCAACTGTTCGTGTTGCCCAGTAAGTCGGCACCAACTCCAACCGAATCGAATACTCCGGATGCCATAGTGGGCAACACAGAGAAACCATCAGTTGAGCTAGCATCGGTCAAGCCCAGACTTAAGATAGTGTTTGATAATACCCTGGCTGACTATTTGCGAGATTTGGGTCAGTACGATATAGGCATGGCTAAGACCGACATTGGAGAACAGAACGAGGCAATGCTAAGGAGCACAATGGGAATGTACAAAAGCAAATACATAGAGTTAATGGAGAAGTACTGCGAGGTGATTGATCAGATACCCGCGGTGCAGTTCAATGAAATCGATGGCTTTGAGGCAAATACTTTTCTCAAGCTGAAAGTCATGCGTCAAAAGTTTAAGGCGCGCACACAACTTCTAGAACGACAAATAGAGCGCAGGCGTCAGGAGCGCAATGTGCAGCCTGAAGAGCCAGACTTTGATGCACTGGAACAAGAGGAGCGCGAGATCCAGGCGGAACAGCATCTCACGCCAACAGAATCGCCTTACAGCCATGCAACTGGTCCGTCAGAGGGACCGAACGAGGAGGACCTAAACGATTTGGTCTTAATGACTACCACAAAACCAACAACAACAACCACATCAACAAAAAAATCTTTGAATACAAACTATACAAATGGTCCACCTGATGATATGGATGAGCTGGTGGCTATGGATGGTCAAATGGCAGAGTCCGACGAGGATGATTACTTAGCTCAGACCATGCGACTCGATGAGGGCGAAATTTTCAGCTCCACACAATGCCCTTCCCCTGTTGCATTAGATGTCCCAGATAAACCTACAACTGTTATTGAGTCTGACGATGATTTTGAGGAGACAATGAAGCAAATACGCGAGGAGCACGAGGCGCTGAAGGGACGTAAATCAGAATTTAATAACTATGCCTATGCTGATTTTGAAGCTATTAAGCAACCGCCAGCAAAGAGTTCACAAATCGACAGCAAGACTCCAACGGTTGTTCTTGATGATGACGGCTTTCCAGAGTACGATGAGGCGCTGTTTGAACAAGCCCATATACTGGCGTCGCAAACCATTGACCTGACTTCCAACGCGATGGTCAAAGCCAAGTCCCAGCCATCGACTAGTACAAGCGGATCTACAAGTGCACCAGTATCAGTGACAGCTCAAAAGATCGAGGCAAATTTCCATTCCAATGTACATAACGATGGCATTACTGGCGAATTCGATGGCCAGCAATATGAGCACTCCACACGTCTGATGCAGGCACTTAGCTTTAGCTTTGGTCTGAAGAGCTTTCGACCCAATCAATTGCAGGTTATAAATGCAGCACTGCTGGGCAATGATTGCTTTGTCCTTATGCCGACGGGTGGCGGCAAATCCTTGTGTTACCAGTTACCCGCGATACTCACAGAGGGCGTTACCATAGTCATAAGTCCACTAAAATCTCTGATCTTTGATCAGGTCAGCAAGCTGTCGTCGCTAGATGTGAGTAGAGTGAGAAGGGCATGCGAACCAATGTATTTAATCAAATTTATATCCATTACAGATCTGCGCTAAGAGTATTTCCGGTGATCAGTCTTTGGATGAGGTGATGACTATATACAGAGACCTAGAAGGTCACCCACCGCTGGTAAAGCTACTATACGTTACACCAGAGAAAATTTCCAGCTCGCCGCGTTTCCAGGATACATTGGACCAACTGAACGCCAATAATTATATCAGTCGTTTTGTCATAGACGAGGCTCACTGCGTGTCCCAATGGGGCCATGATTTTCGGCCCGACTACAAGAAGCTGGGCATTCTGCGTAAGCGCTTTCCCAACGTGCCCACAATGGCGCTGACTGCCACAGCGACGCCTCGCGTGCGCCAGGACATATTGCAGCAGCTGAATCTGACGCATTGCAAATGGTTTTTGTCCAGTTTCAATAGACGCAATTTACGTTATCAGGTGCTACCCAAGAAAGGAGTCTCTACGCTGGACGATATGCGAAATTTTATACAGTCACGACCTGCGACCGCCAGTGGTATTATCTATTGCCTTTCTAGAAAGGAATGCGATGAGGTGGCGAAGAAAATGTGCGCTGTGGGCATACGCGCGTTATCCTATCATGCCGGCCTGACGGACGTAGTTCGAGAGTCCCGCCAAAAAGATTGGATAACAAACAAGGTGCGGGTAATATGCGCCACAATCGCCTTTGGTATGGGCATTGATAAGCCCGATGTGCGCTTTGTCCTGCATTATTCGCTGCCCAAGTCTATCGAGGGCTACTATCAAGAGGCGGGTCGCGCAGGACGCGATGGAGAATTAGCCGACTGTATCCTTTACTATAACTATAGCGACATGCAGCGCCTTAAAAAGATGATGGATGGTAAGTGATAGAGCTTCAATATAAAGATCACATTGTAAAATTTACTACTTTTTCCATTGCAGCTGATCGAGCTCTTCAGTATCACGTAAAGAAGATTCACCTTGAGAATCTGAACCGCATTGTTGGCTATTGCGAGAATATTACCGATTGCCGCCGTGCTCAGCAGTTGGATTACTTTGGTGAGCATTTCACAAGCGAACAGTGCCTGGAGGATCGGCGTACCGCCTGCGATAATTGCCTGAAGAAGCGCACTTATAAACAGATTGATGCCTTGGAGCAATGCCGCAAAGCTGCGTGCGCTGTGCGGGAATTGTGCAGCGGACGGTCACGCTTCACTCTGCTCCATATAGCGGATGTACTGAAAGGATCGATGATCAAGAAGATTGTCGATTTTGGGCACAATAAAACACCGCATCATGGCGCTCTAAAAGACTGGGACAAGACGGATGTACAGCGTTTACTGCGGCATATGGTGCTGCAGGATTATCTAAAAGAGGATCTTATCTTTACAAAAGACATTCCTCAGGCGTATATTTATCTAGGAAATAACATAACATCGCTTATGAGCGGCACACCTAAAATCGAATTCGCCTTGTCGCGCAAGGAGAGTAGCGGTGGCTCTAAGACGGTGGCCAGTGTCTCCGAACCAGCTGCAGCGGGCAGACCCGAAATAAGTAATCTACACGAACGATGTTATGCAGATCTGCTTGATCTGTGCCGCACCATAGCCGCTGCACGTAATGTTACCATGGCGAGTATTATGAATATGCAGGCCCTCAAGGCTATGGCCGAGCAGCTTCCAACTACAGAAAAGGACATGTGCGCCATCCCACATGTAACCAAAGCCAATTTCGACAAATACGGAGCCAAGCTGCTGGAGATAACCAGCGGGTATGCCTCAGAGAAGGAATGCTTGCAGGTCATGTACGATTTAGAAGCCGCTGAAGCTGCTGAAGCTGCAGCCGCTGCAGCGACTCCCCAAACTTCAAGTAGCGCCCGTGCATCGTGGGCGGCTCAAGGTGGCGATGATGATGACTGGGGGCAGGCGGCGGCATCACAGGGAAGTGGAGGATCGGCGGGTGGAATGCGTGGCGGCAAGCGTAAGCGGGCTTGGCGCGGGCGGGCCACAACCACTATCAAGCGCCACAAGGGCACCGCATCACCGCGCAAAAAAGCGACGCCGGTAAGAAGCACTCGAGGTGCCAGTAGCAGCAGTCGAGGAACGGCATCCAGGAGAGGTGCTGGCACCGGTGCGTCCAGTTGGTTGGGTAAGAAAACGGGCACCAGCACCGGCTTTCAATTAATGCCGATACCCGGCTCGCGTTAGCAGAAGAGCGTTACAGAGCAATAAATATGTTTTTGTTTTGTCACTTTGTTAACCAACAACAAGCTTAAGCTATAATAATTTTTAAGTCTCCAAGCGGCAATTGTTATCGAAAAAAAAAAAAAATAATCATACGATGCCAATTTATTTGATGGTCGAACGCAATTTCTCCTCGAAGTCATAAGCACCCATGGACCATATCAAATTGCTGTCCGTCTCCACCTGCACAAATTCCGTGGAATAGGTATTGGAAGTACTGACCATACCACCAAATTCCATTTGTGCATGATCTACAAATGAAAACAGTACATTAAGGGATCTATGGCAATGGGGTACTCATGATACACTTACATAGGTTCCACTTAAGCCCCTGTGTGGTCACATTGTGAGCAGTGCTGCCAACAGGCATTAGGGAGCACCAGCGCTGACTGGTGACCAGGTCGATGGGCACCTGTATAGTATGTTTGCCTGGTCGCAGCAGCCACGTGATAGAATCACCGCTCAGAAGGTATACATTACAATTTTCTTTCTGCATTTTGAACAGTGTGTTCAGGTTGGCCATCACTTGGTCTAGTCGACCAGAGCAATCGTGAAACACTACCACATCCTTGACCTTGCGCTGGACCATGACCGGCTGTAGCACTGTGAAAGCTTTGGTAAAATCCGTAGCATCCTGATCGGGTGTGCTTATTTTCGGTATTCCCTTGAAATATTCAATCGTATCTTCCGTAATTGAATCAAAATCGCCTGTTATCAGATCTGGTGGTTCAATGTCGCTCGGCGCAGGTTCCCCTTTGCTACTTTTTTTACCGTCTGTCTGGGATATGATAAAGTTTTTCAAGTGATTGGATCCTCCATCGACGGCACACCGTAAAGTCGCTGTAAACAGAATATTGGATGTTCTTATTGGAAAAGCTTATGTTTTGATTATTTTCGTTATCACATTTACCGTTCTTCCATAACAGCTTGACCACGTGAGGTGGAACCTGAATTTGCCGATTGAGCACAATGCAAACATGGCCATTGGACCCAAGTTTAAAGTTGTCACTAATAAGATTTCCTGGTGTCCATTTGTACTCTTTCGGCGGTATCGTGTGGTCCATTTGTTGTCGAAATCCAATAGTTGTTTTTGTACAATAGTTGCGTGGGAGTCTACAGATGCTGCCAGCTTGTCTGGAAAAGGAACTGCAGTCTGGCAACGCCAAAGTGGTGCCTGCGCCGCGCAATAATTTGAAAAGGGCATTTTTGATAGCTGCCCCTGCTGCCATCTTACGGCAGCGCGTGCCGTTAATTCGTACGAAACTCATAAAATTTGATTTATTATGCTTGGCACGACTTGGCATTTTACTATTTAATTTAAAAAACGACATTAACAACGACAACAGGCTTTGCGTCAATAAATCAACGCCGTCAACTAACCGATTATAAGCGGCTTGCAACTCTGCAACGCCGCAAACAAAATGGCTCTGATTTTTGCAGACTAAAAAAGATTCATTTTGAATTTTCGCAATCTAAAAATGCCATAAGTTTGAGTAAAATGAAAGAAATAAAACATAAGTTTCAAGGGTCGTGTGTACGAGAGCAACATAGGTATTGCAAAGAAGAATGTACAAATAAAATGGTGTTGAAAGTTCGTGATTGAGATTTGAATACAAAAACTAGTTCTTATAAAACGGCACACACACACGCACGAGCTGCAAACAGCTTCCCAAAAATGGAAGGTATGGATCTGTGGACGTCAATGTTTTCAGCAGATTTCGATGAAGGCGGTGGTGAGGTGGAGGGCCATAATAATGGCGATAACGCGCTTGCAGACGAGTTTTTGGGAGAAGAGGAGGAGGAAGAACAGGAGGCTGAAGAGGATGAGGGCTCGGCCGACGACAGGGGAAGCAAACAAAAAGGACACGAGCCCGATGACGATGCCATTTTTGATTTTGAGCTAGAGCCTATTGTTAGCATTGCGGAACCAGAACTGGAACCGTTGCCCAGACAAACGGCTGTCCCTCTGCAACCCCCTATGCCAACCGGTCCGGCCATCCGACCCCAGCATCGCCAGTCGCTGCCAGCCTCGTTTAGCTCTCAGCCGATGATGGCTCGTGGTGGAGCTGGTGCACCAACACCACGGCCAACGACCTCACAGATCAATGCAACCGATGAAAACGGCGTACCCATCAATTATGAACTCGGAGTTACTTATATATGTCCCGCCTGCGGGGCAGAGTATAGGCAGCAGGACATGTGGAAGCGTCATATGAACCAGATGCATCAGTACAATACTCGACGAGGTCTCAATTTCGTGGCCATTGACAAGTTGTATCACCGTTGCCTGGAGTGTAACAAGCGCATCGCGATGCACAGTAGGGAAAATTTGCTAAAGCACAAGTTCACACATTTGCCATTTAGGTGCACCAAGTGCCACATATGTAAGCGCGAGTACAAATACAGGCAGGACCTGATGGTACATCTTCGAATGGTGCACTGTGATGAAGTGGTAGCCATGATGCGTGGCGGCAAACTGAGTGCTGGACGCAAGACGCGTGTTCGGGAGCCGCGCATCGAGAAGCACCGCGAACATTACGGGCAGGTTCATGACGACGATGGCATTGAGGTCAAAAACGAGGTGCTGGAAACGGAAGGCACAGCGGAGGCAGCTCAGGAGTCCCATCATGATTTCGACGATGAGTACAGTCACAGCTCCAACCAAGCGGCTGTAAAGAAGCGTAGCACTTCTGTGGGAGCCAATGGCAGCGGTGCAGCGGATATTTGCGAGGACTATATACACTATATGTGTCCAGATTGTGGCACCGATTGTGATACGCACGCCCAGTGGAGTCAGCACATTGAATTTGTACACGACTACGTCAGTAGAAGGGGGTTGAACTTTCGCTGCGTGGATATGCAAATGCAGTGCCTCGAGTGCAAGCAGGTGAGACTTGTAATGATTATATCTGATATATCTTTACATTGCTATATCTGTTCTCTATTCAGTTTGTCATCCCGAACACAATTAAGACACTGCGCACACACAAGTTCAGCCACTTGCCACAACCAGAGTGGATGCGTTGCAAGCTGTGCTATAAGGGCTTTACAGAGCATCATGAACTTATAACGCATCTTCTTAAACAGCATAATTTGGAAACCTTAATGCCTGAGAATGAGGAGGAGGAGCAACAGCAGCCATTGGCTATATCCAGTGTGGGTGATGAGTGTGAGGAGAATCCTGGCATTGGCTGCGACGATGAAACTTCATTGCATTGGGACGATGTGCCTCGCCGTGGTGGTCGCATCGGTAGCGATGATATGTACGAGCCGCATATTGATTATCTTTGTCCGCAGTGCGGCAGAGAGTTTATAGAGAAGAAACATTGGCGCACCCATGTTGTACAAGTGCACGGCATGAATGACCTGACCAAGTTGAATTTTGAGGTGATCAATGATCGCCAGTTGAAGTGCACCGAATGCGATAAGATCATAACTAATGCCTATGGCATACAGAATGCCCAGCAGCATAGGATAACACATTTGCCCTACAAGGCGTACGCGCGATGCCGCAAATGCCATAAGTCCTACACGGATCGAAAGGGTCTTGTCAAACACTTGGCAACATACCATCGTGTGGGCTACGAGCCGCGCAAAGTGGTTGGATCAGGATCAGGTGTTGCACCATTGACGCCAAACAAATCGCACACGCCGCGCAAACAAATCGTCACCGTGGCCAATGAGACGTATGAGATTATATATTTGGATGAGGAGCAATCGCCACCTAGTAACAATAATATAAATGATGAGAATGATTTCGGTGAACAAATGCAAGCGGACGACGATGATTACGCCCTAGGCAGTACCAGCGGTTTATTGGGACGCCAGCCGCAAGCACCTACTGCTGTCGCTCCTGCACCAATTCCTAATCCGAATCGCTACAAATGCGTAGACTGTGGCTCGCTGTTTGCCACACAGGTGGCATTAAAGACGCACATCAGCGAGGAACATGATTTTATGGACACGCAATACAGTGCCAAAAAGTTTGACAATGCGGAACCCACGGAGGAGGCTGCTACAGCGCCTGTTGCCGTTTCAACCACTGCAGCTAGTTTGCCCTTAAAAAACCCCGCAGGAGCTTCCACTATAGAGCAGAATTATATTTTCCTGTGCCCGTCGTGTGGCAAGGCCTACAAGACACAGTTCGAGTGGCGTCGCCACATTAACGAGGAGCACAACTTCGATAAACGGCAGTATTTGAATATGCGCCAGCTGGACAAATATCGGTATCAGTGCACCCTTTGCAAGGACATTGTGTGTAATTCCAAGCTAAAGGGCTTGCAGGATCATCATTTTCGTCATTTGCCTTATCGACTATATCTGAAGTGCCTGGTATGTGGCACCTGCTACAATCATAAGCCCAACATCGCAGCGCATCTCCGCACGCGGCACAACATCTATGAACGGGAGCCCTCATCTTGGCGTGACCAGCACCAGAAGTCCCAGAATGGCCACGAGCAGCACAAGCATAAGGATAAGGATAGGGATACGCAAACCACAGCTGCCACCGGCACAGCTTCTGCCTCACCTACTCCCAGTAGTAGCCGCACGCTCAAGCCACAGCCGGGAGTGTTGCCGACGAGACCCGCTGGACTTAACACATTGGAGGATAGTATATCGTATCACAATGCTGTTGATCTGGACTTCATCACCTATTTTTGTCCCAAGTGCAATAAGAACTTTGACTCGCACGCCTTTTGGCGCAAGCACATCGTTGAGGAACACAACTACAATAGTCGGATAGGTTTAAACTTTCGCCAAATTGACGTCCATCATTATCTGTGCCTGGAGTGCTATAAGCGTGTGACAGTGACGCACACTAAGGGCGCCATTGGGCAGCTACAGTCGCACAAGTTCCGACATCTGCCTTATCGCTCCTTCAAGTGCTTGACCTGCTCAGGGGAGTTTGTTCGCAAGCAAATGTTCTTTAAGCACCTGAACCGCGATACAAATCGTTGCGACAACAAGCCACTGACCGGCCAGGAGAATGATGAAGACACCACTGATCAGCCGGACAGGCCACCTACCATGCTCGCAAAAGAGACACTCGATGTCGCGACATATCGCTTGATGTGTCCTCAATGCGGTGATGGGTTTACCACCAGCAGCAAAGCTCTGTGGCGAGAGCACATTAACATCCATCATGGTCTAGGCAAGCGGGAGATGCTGCATATGCGCAAGTTGGGAGACGAATCGTATCTCTGCACGGAGTGTGAGGAGCACCTGCCAACAAAACAGCTGCGAGTGCTGCAAGAGCATCGCTTCCAGCATTTGCCCTATGCCGCATACATACGCTGCCAGCTATGCGAACAGCAGTCGCCGGATGGCGAGAGTCATGGTGTGGTGGCTGCCGGATTGCACAGTATGCGTGAACTGCAACAGCACATACGCGACGTTCATCCGGATGTGGTGGAGCAAGACGAGCAAATGCAAACGCAGTTGGAAGATGAGGATGATAGTCAGCAGCCGGCTGTTGGCGGAGAAGCAACTGACAGTGGACTCTATATGCCGCTGCCGCCGCATTTGCTAGACGATGATGCAGAGGATATGGAGTTTGAAGAACAGTATCTGCTAGGTTAAACAGAAACACTGGCCAAATCTTGCCAGCCCAGTGAACAACAGAATCTGCAAGTCTGCCAATAGGAGACCCCATTTACAATTTTAAATATCTATATCTAACTGAACATAAGTACTTATAGATAGTTTATGGTTATACGACTCACATAAGAATTGAAATTTCCTTAAGAATTCTCATTTAATTACTTAAGTAGATCATAAATAACACTGCAACTATTTATTATTTATCACCATACCCTAATCTCCCAGCCGAGAACCACATACATTACATTACAAGCTAACCGTGAAATTACTATGAGATTTCTGAATTAGCTACTGATACATCAATAAATGATATATTGACAATGTACAATCTATACTTTGTCCTAGTTTATAGTTATTTGTTCGATGAAAATTAACTAGTGTCTCACTTTACAATGATTGGTCTCTACTTGGATTAGTTCTAGAAACTTAAACCAGAAAATGAATAAGCAACTTAATATTTTATATTAAAGTATATCCCTAGAAAAATTGATTCTTTTTATTCCAAAACGAATTCAAATCTTATGTAATTGACTATTTACCCCAAATTGGGAGTACAAATTCTGTTTTTCTCTTTTTAGTGATTTTTAGCAGCTTTAAACTTGTACCCGCATTCTTTTATTTTTAACTTAAGCTTTTCGTTAATATACTGAAAATAAATAAGACAATTGAATATGACAACAAAATCTTGGTTTTTCTCTATTGAATCAATACTGGCTCAAAACTGCATAAAATCATTAGATCACCTGGATGAAATATGTTCGTGCTCTGTAATGTTTCGTTATCCGTGTACCTTTCAACATTCTCTTAACGATTGAAAGTGAGATGATGGCTACAAATATTCTGATAAGATTATAAATCGAAAATTATTATCAATGAAAGTAAGTTCAGTGCGTACTACTTCAATGACGTTCAATCAGCCAATCGGGCGAGGGGCTTAAGTACTCGAATTATTTAAAGAACATTAATTGACACGAGTTATTATTAATTAGTAATAGTATTTTCGTTTATTATTAATTTCGACTAAAAACCCATATAACATTCCCACAAAAGTTTTCTTGAATTGTTACTCTGTAGTGATCAACGATGTATGTATGTATTCTGTGTTTGATTGTTTTATGTGGTTTGGCAAACACGAGTTAACAAAAAAAAAAAAAAAAAAAAAAAAAAAAAAACAAACAGGGTAGAGAAGGAATTTGAAAAGTAATACGTAAAACATGTATATACATTTAAATGTCAGGCATATCGGGCAGATGCCACTGCAATGTTATTGTGATTCAATTGTTATGTTATTGTGATTCAATTTAGTACGATAATAATACGATATGTACGTTGTTTAATAGAATCCTAAATCTAAAATTTATTTCATTTTTGTGTTTCGTTTAATGTTATGTAATACAATAAATAATAATGAATACTTTTAGAAAGCATAAACAAATTGCACGCATGTAATAATTGCAACTATTTAAATAATGTTTAAATAATATAATAAAATACAAATTAGAACAAAAATTGTTTTCTTATTCAATATAAAACAAAACTTTTGCTGTTTTTCATTTTTGTTTGTTTCTTTTGCCAAATACTTTTCGTTTGCGCATGGAATGAACGTTATCTAATTTACTGTTGCTTAAACAGTTTCTCTTTGTGGTTTTCCCCCATTATCATTTCGAAGCCTACAATTTGTCAGTTCCTTTCTCTTTTGTGCACGACTTTCTCACTATTCGACTTTGCATTAGAATTGATACACAACTTATGCATTGAGTGTGTGTGTGTTTAGTAACAATTGGTTGCTCTTTGTTGTAGAAGTAATAGTAAATGGTTCTGTTTTTATAATTGTTATCTGTTTGCAGCCTCACAGAGTGGGCATATTCCTTCTGCTGCTGCTGGCGCCTCCTCCAGAAGCTAACCCGTCCTGTTGCGCCTTTTGTTTGGCGCGACGCGCCTTTTGACGCGTATGTTCGATTTGAAAGTCTTCCACACGCAAGTTGAGCCGCATCATATTGTTGATGATGAACTCCTCCTCCATGATATGCTCGGGCGGGGAGCGTAGCACCTCTAGCGTTTCGCACAGACCAGTGCACGTTTTGCGCACCTTGTGTCTGCTGAGTGAGGCACCAATGATAACCAAGGCCACCTTGAACATTACACGAATGCCCTCGGCGAGAAAGCAATCCCAGACACGCAACAGCGTCTCCCAGGGCAGAGTGCGTGTCATGGCGCACAGGAACCAGTCCGTCATATAGAGCAGCGGCTCCACTTTGTGCTTCTGCAGGTGACGATAGACGGGTGGGCAGGTTTTCTTAAGCAGTCCCTCCAGGATGCCTGCATCATTTTGTATCACCTCGAGACCAGGTATAAAATAGTCCTGCAAGTAACTATAAAGAGGCATGAGTTTTTACATAGCTAAAAATTATGAGTGGCAAGACTTACACATCACATACGCTTACGAATACCCAGAAGGCATCCTCTGCAGGCAAATGCATCAATAGAAATGCAGCTATTGGCGCTTGCGCTTGACAGAAGCCAACCTTGGGATTATATATCGAATAGGCTTTGAGCACATTGAACAGCTCGATTTGGCCCACCTTCTCCTCGTCGAGAAACATTTCGTGAAATGGGAACTGACGATGTTTATCTTTTCTAATTTCCTCAATGGTCGATGGGTTGCCAGGCTTCTTCAGCAACTCCTCATAGACATCGGGATTCTTTTTCTTAAGCAAATAAGCGCCGGATAGATAAAACCAAGCTTTGGGGCGCACCGATTTGGGTATGCCTTTACGGCATCTGTCACGTATCTGTGATGTGGAGTGGAGCAATATGTAATTATTTTAATTGATTCACTTATGTATCGCTTACTAACCTTTTTGTAGTTCTTGGACATATAAATGGACCAGTTGTCAATCATGTAGAGCCATTTCTTTTCACGCGCTATGATTTGTGCCTTGGACAAAGGCTCTTTGGGTTTGTCGCTGCGCTGAAAGCCGCCATAGAAACCATTGCGATCGGGGCAACTGGATACGGTGGAGCACAGCGAGATGGTATCCAAAGCTCGCGGTGGCGTTGCCATCTGTGTCAGTTGTGCTGCGCAGAACGATTGCAAACTAAATCCATAAATTATTACAACACTAGCATACGCCCACAATAAAGCAATTTAACCTGAGTGCCCAATAAGTAGATGCCCTATACTTTGTACTGTTCAAAAATGAGAGAAAATTAATTTCAAAATAAATTTTTTATATTTGGTCTGATTCACAATTAAACAAGAATGGACGGCAGTGAGATATTCCTTGCATTCGACTAATTTTTGACGTTAATGGTTATATAGTCTAGATTTCGAGATGAATTTTAAAATAATTTTTCCTGACTTTATATGTGTGTTAGTCGATCAAACTTTCTTGAATGGGAACAGGGTATATTAAGAAAGAAAAACAGCTTAAGATATTTGTAAGGGTAAGTGTAGGTGGATTGCGAGAGAGGTCTGCGCTATTCAGATAAGAGAGACAGAGAGAGCGTAGAGCGCACCCAACTACAAAAAGCCAAGACAATTTGCATTAATAATCTGATGTTTGTATTTGTAAAAATGAAAACTGCGCAATTAAGCGCGATCAACGTAATTTTCGACAGTTTCTCAATCATTCTCTCAATTTATTTTTCGTTTAGCACATATTAGTCACATAAATACATATAGGTATATGTTAAAATTTCGTATGTGTATATGTACATGTCTTTAGCTAACTATAGATATGATTTTTATTGTTTATTTATAACGTTATCAGCGGTTCACTTAGATAATAAAACCTTGAAGACTTAAGTTCTTATTTGATTTTCCTTTTATCTGTATGCGCACCTTGGTCTCTTTAGCAGAAGGACCTCATCCAAGCTGCCGTTTCACTTGTTTTTATGCGTTCGAAATAACGGAACCATTGTAGCTATTTGAAAAAATTGCTTAAAAGGCAGGCAAAAGGGACAGTTGCAGAACAGCCGGCACAACTGTTTTCAAGTTATATACACATGAATGTAGGTATGTATGTACATATGTATATGAGCCAGCACGTGAAATACAAAATCAAAGTATTTACGAAGGAGCACGGCATTTATAATGTTTACTCAATTAGTCAGCAACGGGCGTAAAAAGGGAATAGTAAGCCATAATGTAAACCGTAAACAAAGAACTCAACTGATGAGCGATATTTGAATAAACTATTACCGCAAATTTATATTACAATATTTATAATACAGTGATGTCTCCGAAAGTGGTCCTACTCTGAAATACGAATATTCATTTAAATTTTTGTTTAAATAAATATCAAGTTTATTAAATGAAAATGAAAATGAAATGAAGTTACACAAATGAAGAGGGAAGTGTAATAATCTGGCAATGCGACCTCTTATAAAAGTGATCTTCCAATTGGACACCGGAAGATGCAACTCAAATGCCAACTGAAAGCATTGTCAGTTCGAGTGGCTAATGACAGGCGACTAACTAATTGAGGCAACTGTGTATGTAGTTGACTTTAATAACCTACTGAATGCTTAATTGCAAAACAAAAAGCGAGTGAGCAACTAGCAAGTGAGCAAATAAGAGTGTAAATGCAGCGCAGCTGCAGGGCAAAAAGAAAGTTGCTGTGACACAATTCCGATGGGAAGTGTGGCGGACGAATCGGATTTGCTACAATTCTTATCAGCAATACATACTTCGAAAATAGGTATCTAGTTAGCCCAAGTTAATTGCGAAGGTTTTATTGAGTAATATAATACACACAATCACATACACAAACAGACACGCACAAACACATACACATGAACATCGCTCAGGCGGTCTGCGGCCCACCCACCATCAGTGCTAGCATTGCTCTTGGCTGCCATTTTGCCTGAGCGCTCCAAAAGCAAGTGTCACTGTATGATACTATGGCGGCTGTGGTTGCCTGTGTGTGTACAATACTAAGCAATTGTTATTATTAACGTGACGCTCTCGCCCGCTTGTTCCCGTCATACACACTCACGTACATTTTTTGCTTACCTTTCGAGTAGCTTGTTCTGGCTGGTTGCTGTTGTTGTTGCTTATTACTACCGAACTGCTTCCGTGGAATGCGCAATAGTTGTTTTCACGTTTAACTTTCTATGCTTTCTTGTGTTATTCGTTTTGTTTCACATTTATGCACACACTTTGCGCCCGCACAAATGTGTTGCATTTATTGTGTGAGTGGAACCACTATTTTCCAATTGGAATTTGTTTATTTCTTATACAAACTGGGAAGGGTGAGGTAGCCATCGGAATGACACTTGTTTTCGTTTCCCATTTGCTTGTTTACGCGTTAATGCACGTTTACAATTTGTTCAAACGTACTGTTTGCTTTGGCACAAAAATTGTTATTATTTTAACGTGTTTGAAGCGAAAATTGCACAAGAAATTTAATTTTTTTTGGGAGCTACGTGTGTTGCGCTATGTGAACAGCCGAGCACTTAGCGATGGCATATCGTTGGTCTTTGTACGACAACAGTGTTGGATAGGTTTCGATAGGCAGGGCGCAGGCACTAACCAGAGAACACATAGACCGGACACGTAGTGCAAAGCGTTTTGCACACTTATTTTCA